GGGTGAAGGGAGACGTCGGACAGAGCAAGATAGAACAAAATAATAATTTATAAACTATCAAGGGCTCATGAGGGAGGGGGCAGCGGGGAGGGAGGGGGAAAATGAGGACCTAATGCTCGGGGCTTAAGTGGAGAGGAAATGTTTTGAGAATGATGAGGGCAATGAATGTACAAATGCACTTTACACAATTGATGTATGTATGGATTGTGATAAGAGTTGTATGAGCCCCTAATAAAATGATTAAAAATAAAAATAAAGTAAAAAAACAGCAATGAAACAAAAAAAAACCCCAACAACAATGAAACATTAAAAACAAAAGAAGAAAAGAAACGGTATTCCCCGTCATATTTTTTTCTCATCCTAAGGAAACTGTGGATTAAGCTTTGGGCTTCTAACCACAAGGTTGGTGGTTCAAACCCACCAGCAGCTCCACATGAAAAAGATGAGGCTGTCTGTTCCACAGTGGTTTACAGTCTTGGAAGCCTTGAGTGGCAGTTCTGCTCTCTCCTTGTGGGTCACCAAGCATCAAAACCCACTGATGGCAGTGGGTGGATGGGTTTAGTTAGGGAGTGCTGAACTAGATCAGGACTTTTTGAGTTTTAGTCTCTTTTTTATTGATATCCCCTCAAGATGTTAAATAACATCTTTTGGTCTTTATTTAAGTGGTTTCTTACTCTCTTCGTCATGAAGTTTCTCTCAATTGTTATTATTAAAAAGCCTTTATGAGAAGAAATGAGAAAGATTAAAAAGGGTATGACAATTCATGTTTTAATTGAACAATGAAATACTTAGGTATAAATAACCTGGATACTTTTCATTATTATAATAACCCTACCACTGCACTCAAATGAGGAAAGATTATCATGATGTTTTAAATAGTAAAAACGAATGGTTTCACTTAGAAACAACATTTTGGCTAGTACATTGTTGTTTACTGTGTTCTTTTTTCTCTTCCCCTCCCCCTAAGGGCCATTTTAAGTGCCAGATCCAGTTATTTTGCTGCGATGCTGAGTGGCTGCTGGGCTGAAAGCTCCCAGGAGCACATTGCTCTTCAAGGGTAAGCATGATGTGTGCAAGACTGCCTGACTGCAAGTGATGGGTAATTCATATTTCATTTCAAGCACTGTTTATTAATCTGATTTCCCTATATGCTCATTGAAATGTGTCTCGTGTAGTAGAATTCAACAAAGGATATTTTCTGAAAATAAGAGGTAGTAGAGATAGTTTCTGACTCTTTAGGCCTTCAATGCCAGGCGAAGCATGCAGGTGGACTCATGGGTAAAAACAACCAGAAAACTGCATATTGGTGAAAACTACAGATTGCATCTTTCCCTTATGAGGACTTTAAAATATCTGCTGGTGTAGGAAGGGCAATGCCAGCTGGGTCAGAGACTAAGTCTGAGAGTGCCAATTCTAAGGACAATCATTTTTGTTTAATTTAGAATTAATTTAGAAAATGTGTCCAAGGACTGTGCACTCGATACATTCTAGACATCATTTTCAGGAATCGTCAACTCGCACAGAACTGGCTTTGATAAAAATTTAAATGAAATAACACTAATTTGGCTTATAAAGTAACATTTTGGCACTTCTTTTCTTTTTGAACGAAATCAGGAATTTCCTTGTAGGTTTAGTGATGTCTCCTGGTGCTTGATACTTGTTAGAGATTCCATTTTTCCTCTCACCCAATAGATCCTACCCTCAGCACTAAGGAGGGGTTAATGTGGCACTATGTTTTCTAGGCTTGATGCGCACTCACCGGGCCCTTTAATTTTTAGAATCAGTCTTTGAGATTGGGAGCGTGTCTCCACATACTATAGATGAAGGAACTCGAGGTCAGAGAAGAGAGCCATCTGGTAAATAAGTGCTTATGCGGAAAATCAACCCCGTGTGTGGTTGTCGTCGTTCGGTGCCTCCGAGTCAGTCCTGACTCACAGGGACTCCGTGGCAGGAGGAGCCACGGCCGGTTCCCTCCCCAGCCTCATGATTGTTACCCTTGAGCCTGTTGTTGCAGCTGATGTGTTTGTTAAGGAAAAAGCTATGTTTGTCGATCCCTAATTCACTACTCTACCACAGTCTCTGAGGAAAACATTACGTTTCCTCTTGGATATGTGTGCTGGAGCTATCTCAGATTGCTCTGTTCAAACTTATTTGGCCTACCACCTCCTTTTAAAAAAATATTACTTCTTGCCGATTGTTCTAGAACCCCCCCACAAGAGAATGTATCTCCCACTTTGGGAAATGCTGATTTAAATGAATGGTTTTCAGACTTTGATTGGAAGTTCCTGGTAGGTACATTTGGGAACATGTGGTGTGGGACTGGTTTCTAAGGGCCAGGCCATTTGCAGGTCACCCCTTCAACTGGAGCTGTACTATCTCCATCTCTTTTATATTGTTCAAGATGACCTATAAGTTTAGCTACTAGGTAACTCTTTCCCAGTCCTTCTTAATTAACACAAACTAACCAGATTAAATATTAAAACACCTACCTGTTAAAAATGAGGTCTGTTTACATATAACCTCCTCTTTGGGGGATGGACAACAGAAAAGTGGGTGAAAGGAGACATCGGACAGTATAAGATATTACAAAATAATAATAATTTATAAATTATCAAGAGTTCATGAGGGAGGGGGGAGTAGGGCAAGGGGGAGGGAGTAAGGAGGGAGGGGGAAAATAAGGAGCTGACACCAAGGGCTCAAGTAGAAAGCAAATGTTTTGAGAATGATGATGGCAACCAATGTAAAAATGTGCTTGACACAATGGATATATGTATGGATTGTGATAAGTGGTGTACGAGCCCCCAATAAAATTATTTTTTTAATGAGGTCTATTTATTAAAAAGTCAGTGCACACAGAAGAAGTAGTGACATCAGCTGCTGATCTACCTCACCTGTAGGTTTCCATCTTTGATTTACGGTGGAGGTGGCTGGTATAGAAAAAAATCTCCTCTTATAATATGATTTTACCACTGGTCGATTTTACTGACTTCTCTAACCCAAACCCATTGGCATCGAGTCAGAGGGAACTCAAATACAAGTAACCAAATTAGCTTCAAAGTTTTCAGCCAAATGAGGAAGTACCTGTGCATGGTCTAGTACCAGCCAGGCCTCTTACAGAGTTTTTCCTTCACGTCTGTTGTCATAAGCAAAGCTCTGCTTCTTAGTGGTTCCTCAGCCTAGAGTTGCCGTTGGTGTGGGGACTCACTGTCAGTGCTAATGGGAAATTAGCACACGCTTCTTGTCGATTCAACTCCTTTATCTTGTTTGTGAAAGTAAGGTTTTATAAGTGATTCTAGCTTATAAAAACAAAAATCAAATCCGTTGGCATTGAATTGACTCCAATACTATCAGATAGAGTAGAATTTCTCCCCCTGCCCCTCCCATAGGATTTCAGTGACTGGGAATCTTTACAGGAGCCACTTTGTCTTCCTCACCTTTCCTACCTGTTGTTGATACACCAATGCCTGACCCACAGTACCAGCAGGGCTTCTCAATAAATAATATAGAAAAGTAAATACTACATTTTAACTTTCTCTTTTGTATCATGTGAGGAGCCCTAGTCGTGTGGTGAGTTACACATTGGGCTGCTAGCAGCAAGGTCAGTAGTTCGAATCCCTAGCTACCTAGCAGATGAGTTTCTACTCCCATAAATATTTATAGTCTCAGAAACCTACAGAGGCAGTTCTACTCTGTTCTGGGTTATGTTGAAGGTTTGGGGGATTGTGTCATGTATCATCAACGCGATGGCAGGGTTGATGTACATCACATGACTACTGGACGAGATTTTTCAAAGTAAAATTTGTAAAGGAATTTGAGAAATCTGCTTTTTAAAAAAAGCACATATTTGGGATTTTTTTGCAACAAAACAATCTCAAAAGAGAGTCCATTTTCCCATAAACTTGTATTACAAACCTCTTTGTTTCCGTGGACTGTGCTGCGATAGAAAAAGTGTAGCTTGTGGTGTCCTGTACCAGTTGTCCAGAGCCAAGTACAGTGGTAGTGGGTCCATGATATGTATTACTCATTATGATTTTCATTGTCTTCTTTCCAGAAATTCGATTGTTGTTACTTTCTAGCGAGAAAGAGGATTGAGTGAGGGCCATTCTTTTTTTCTTTTGCATTGTTATTTGTTGGTTTTTTAGTCATTTTATTGGGGGTTCATACAACTCTTGTCACAATCCATATATCAGTTGTGTCAAGCACATTTGTACATTTGTTGCCCTCATCATTCT